TTTATTAATATTTGCTGAGCTACTTTATGCCTTTAGCTGTTGTTTACAAAGCAGTTAATGCAGGAAACTCATTGGTTTTTCTTGGAGCTGTTTGCCCCCAACAAAAATATCCACCACTATATTGAACAGTGATTTAACTCTGCTGAATCTTGTTTGCTTGCATTTATGAAACTGTTTTGACAGAAGCCATCCCCACAAATCACAACTTAGTTTTGATTACACAGAAACAGTAGGTTCAAGCACAACATTATCTTCCATGATAGTTCTGGAGGGCAGGAGGTTCTGCAGCTAATGGTACCAGACCTACAGAAGGCAAAATGCTGATGTCTCATTACCCTTGAGCAGACATTGGCGGACCTCCTCTGCTTCGTAACGCATCCCTGTGCTGTAGGTAAAGTTGAGAGGCAAGTGGGGTTCAGGTACCGGATATTGGGTCACCTTCTCATTAACAACCAGTGCTGTGGGGCACCACATAGGAGAAAGGACCTGGAGCATGTGGATCAGATTAATGTCAAACCAGAGTTTGAAGACGCTTCCAATTTCTTCTACACAACACTCAAACTAAACACTTTTTCAATTGTTGCCATGCCATCCTTGGTAACTTGCCTCTATTATGCCGTTTGTCCCAGCAATAAAGGCTTCACCATGCAGATGGACCCCAGCAGAGCAGGTGAACATCGCCATTCTGTTTTTTGAGTACTGAAGAATGACAGCAACACTTTCATCCACTCCTACAGGGAGGAGAATATACAACAGTGTAGAGAAAAGATGCCAACACTACAGCCACAAATGCTGAAAATAGAGTTGTATGCCAATTTAGAGTTTCAACAAGGTCCATCAGGAGGTGAACATTCTAATTAGATTACATTTCTTTTATCAGATTTGTAAGATATGAAATTATCCATTTTCTAAGTCTGACCTGATTAACTTATTCATTTTAGTTTGAGATTGTTAATCTACATTTTCTTTATTTTAAGAGGACTTTACATTAGTTTTCTGGCATTTCAGAGCTTCTATGTGCAGAGAAATGTTGTAAAAGATATGCAACTACAGTAGGGAATTATTTACTGCAACAAAGCCAGAAAACATTGTAGACAGCTCAAGGTTTGTGTGAAAATTGAAGATGCATCAATCCGAATTTTCCTATTAAAAAAACCAAACTCCTACCATAAATGATAGTTTGGTTCTTACTTTTGAAACATTTAACAGGGTGGACACAATCTGCACACAACTACAAAAATCTTAACTCACTTGAGTGTAAAGTAGTATCTCACCGAGTTGGCACAGCCTCCAAGGTTACATGAATGCCTCATCCTGTTAACGCCTTACCTGTCTCCAGGCAGATCCCGCTGGCTTGGATACTCTCTGGCTTCTCTCTGTTGTACACCATACTTATAAATTGAAGGCAGGAGATGCCAAGACCTAGTAATGCTCCTCCACCGAGGTCCTTCTGATCTGATCTTGGCACATGGAATAGTGGCACACCAAAGTCTGCACGGACCATCTTCACCTCCCCTATGTACTCCTCAGCCAGCAGCTTTCTGATCTCCACAGAGGCTGGGAAAAAACGGGTCCACGCAACCTGGAAAGAACATGTTTTAAAACTTTTGAAGGTCTTCAAGTGTGCAATAGTAAATTATATACAGAGAAATTATTTTTTTCTTCCTGGTTTGCTACATGCTTACCTCCATGAGGAAGACGTTGTTCTTTTTGGCAGAGTCTAGAATCTCTTTCACTTCCTTGGTGTTCATGGCCAGCGGCTTCTCACAGAGAACATTCTTTTTAGCATTTATGAAAAGTTTACAGGCGTTCAGATGGCATGGGTGGACAACTCCAACATACACAACATCTGCACAGTCAAACATAACACTGAATGATTTTTCAGAACAGTATGAAATATTGAGAAAATTGAAACTGGATAAAAGAAAACATTTAATATAGAGCAGGAGTTATTGTAAAGTTTTGAAATTAAAAAAACTGAAAAGCCTCTGGCAGAAGGACACTGACCTACATCTGGATCTCTGGCCAGCTCCTCATAGCTGCCATAAGCCTTAGAGATGTTGTGTTTTCTGGAAAACTCCTGAGCGTCCTCCAATTTACGAGCTGCAACAGCCACAACCTGTGAAGTCACAGATGATGCACATTAA